GCTAGCCTTGAGCTGAAGAGCTGAGGGACAGCGCCCAGGCCTAGAGTTCAGGCCCCATGACCAGACCCCAAAATAAATAAATAAATTGATAAAAGATTAAGTATGGCTTAGCACCCAGTCTTCCAGTGGTAGGGCCACAATAGTATAAAGATCAGGTCTTAAAAAATTGTTTTGTTTTTTTTTGGTTGGTCGTGGGGCTTGAACTCTGGGCTTGGGCACTGTCCCTCAGCTCTTCAGCTCAAGGTGAGCACTCTACCACTTGAGCCTCAGCGCCACTTCCGGTTTTCGGAGTGATTTATTGGAGATAAGAGTTTCTTGGACTTTCTTGCCCGGGCTGACTTTGAACTAGGATCCTCAGATCTCAGCCTCCTAAGTAGCTAGGATTACAGGCGTGAGCCACCAGCACCCGGCAAAAAATTGAACCTAAGTTACTGCAAATTCTAAAACTTCTCATTATCAGTGTGAAAGCATCATAAATGATTTAACTTCCAGACTATTAGAGATTAAAAAGCATAAACCTATCCATTATTTTTAAATAAAGCTGATGGGATATAAGCCATAATTATTTGATTCTACCTTCCATTTAAATTCTATTTGTAGAACTTCCTTTGACATATTTTTTTAACCTTTATTAAAAGAAAAAAATTGGTTTAAAGTAAATCCCACAGGTCTCTGGTATTAGGTCAATTTTACCCCCTGCTACAAACAGTAGTAAAAAGCGAGCTTTCTCCAACTGACCTGATCTTACTTTGCTAATGTAATTTTTTATTTTTTGGTCATGGGGCTTAAACTCTGGGCCTGGGCCCGGTCTCTGAGCTCTTCAGCTCAAGGAGAATGCTCTACCACTTGAGCCACAGCACCACTTCTGGCTAATTGGAGTCTCACTGATTTTCCTACCTGGGCTGGCTCTGAACCGTGATCCTCAGATCTCAGCCTCCTGAGTAGCTAAGATTACAGGCCTGAGCTACCAGCACCTGGCTGCTAATGTAATCTTAAGCCACAAAATTTTTATATTCAAACTGTCATAATCAAGTATAGGAGGCAAGGTATAGATAAATAAGCTTTACAAAAAAAAAAAAAACTCGAAACATCCAATCATTCACAATAGCCAATCAATCCAGTTTACTACAATGGACAGGAAGGCAAATCTGTAACCGACCTCACATTCACAGAGGCACTACAGACATCAAAGGAAAAGGAGTGAACCTGGGGCAGAGGAGCCAAATATCCCCAGGGCATACAGCTTTTATAGCTTTTCAATTGCAAGTGGTCAGTGAGTAATAATGTATCACCAGGGGAGGAACTTTGCTATTTTGTTCCAAACACATAAAACTGGACTAGGGGCATGGCTCAATTGGTAAGAGCAGTTGCTGAGTTCAATCCCTACTACTGGGAAAAAAACAAACAATATAAATTGGGCAAAAATAGTTGTGAATATTTAAATATGCTTTCCCTAGTTACCTAATAGCACAGTTGTCTGTAATTTTTTTTAATCCTTGCTTTGATTTCTTTTTTTTTTTGTCTTTTCTTTTTTGGTACTGGGGATCGAACCCAGGACGTTGCGCTTGCTAGGCAAGCGCTTTGCCACTGAGCTACATCCCAGACCCCTTGCTTTGATTTCTAGATCTCTGTACTGTCATTAGTCCAGAGACTCTGGGATAAGGAACATGAATCAGTGGAGGCCTGCCACATTGCCTAAGCCAGGCTCTTCACTGTGGCAGATGCAAAGGCACACAATCAAGCCACAGGCTCTGTGAAACACATTCTCCCTGGGATCTACAGGGAAAGAACCATTTTCTAGACAGCTACTAAGCTTCCTTGTTCTGGCAAAGAAGCTTCTAGTCTGGCCTCAAGGTATAAAGGGTACTCTTAGCACTGGAAGAGCTCTGCCACCCTGTGAACTGCTTACCTAGGTTCTTCAGAAACCAGCAGAATGCCTGTAAGACGCTGATCAGCAAAAGCCACCAGTACTTGGTGAAACAGCACAGGCACCAATGCTGTCACATGGCCAGGATACAGAAGTGGTGGTCATGGGGAATCTCTCTGTACAACAGTATACCAGCTCTGCTGCCATACACTGGATTAACAGCCTAGTTGACATTTTTTAATCTTAATTTAAAATGTCCTGAACTCATCCCCCAAATATGTAAAAAAAAAAAAAACAGTAAAAAAAATTAAACAATGGGAAGAAAATTTTATGCAAAATGTTACCCATTAAAAAGAAAGGATTGGGGGCTGGGAAAATGGCTCAGTGGTAGAGTGCTTGTCTGGCATGCAGAAGGCCCTGGGTTCGATTATTCAGCACCACATAAGCAGAAAAAGATGGAAGTGGCGCTGTGGCTCAAGTGGTAGAGCGCTAGCCTTGAGCTAAAGAGCTGAGGGACAGCGCCCAGGCCCCACAAGTGCAAAAAAAAAAAAAAGGATTACATACATGTATTTCCTTATATTAAAAAAAAAAAAGCACAAGGGAAGGGTGGCACTGTCCCAAAAGAAATGTACTCGTTGGCTGGGAATGTGGCTTAATGCTTGCCTAGCATGCATGAAGCCCTGGGTTTGATTTCTCAGTACCACATAAACAGAAAAAGCCAGAAGTGGCACTGTGGCTCAAGTGGTAGAGTGCTAGCCTTGAGCAAAAGAAGCTCAGGGACAGTGCCCAGGCCCTGAGTTCAAGCCCCATGACTGACAAAAACAAACAGAAAAAGGGTAAGTGAAAGATGAGGGTGAGAAGGACAAAACAAAGACTTCTAACTATGTATATGAATTTTTAGATTTTGGTTTTGAAACCACGTAATTATCTTTTAGAATTCCAAAACTGAGTAACAACAACAACAACAAAAAATGCCCCCAATCCCAGCGTTTGGGAGGCTGAGGGAGGATTCTGAGTTCCAGGGAAGTCTAGGCTACACAATAAGACCCTATCTCAAAAAACAAACAAGTTCTAACCATTAAACAGCCTACCCTACTAGCACTTCCTGTAGTGACAGGGTGCTCCTTATCTGCTCTGGCTGGAAGGGTGGCTTCTAGCCCATGTGGCAATGAAGCATATAAAGTAGCGAATGAGGCAGAGACCGAAGAAAGCCATCATATTGGACAGCACAGACATATATTAGAGGCTATGGAAGCAATCATATAAGAAAGAGAATTTGCCAATATATGGTCCTTCTTGGGAGAAGAACAGTATGAAGAGGCCGAGATGGGACACAGCTGCTTTTCTCATAAAATTTCCTCTATATGTTGTATAACTTTCTCTCTCTATATATTACTTAGATAGAAATTGTGTGTGTGTGTGTGTGTGTACACGTACCAGACCTGGGGCTTGAAATCAGGGCTCAGACACTGTAGCTGAGCTGGCTTTGAACCTTGATCCTTAGATCTCGGCCTCCTGAGTAACTAGGATTATAGGCGTGAGCCACCCGTGCCCAGCCTGACTTTGAACTCACTGTGTAGCTCAGGCTGGCCTTGGACTCATCATCTTCCTGCCTCAATTTTCTAAGTGTTGGGATTACAAGTATCTGTCATCATGCCCAGCCTTCAATTCTGTGTTGTCTTAACCATTCAGCCATAGATATTTATTTCTTTTTCTGGATTTATTGTATCTATCTTTTAGTCATCTGTACTTTGCACAAACTTCCTTTATTTTGGCACTTCATTCAATTCTGACATGATGGATAACACTAAAATTGTACTGTATGGCATGAACAAAGGCCTTTTTGTGTGGCCAGTTTCTGTTTAGCTTTACATTGAGCAGATTTTTTAGTTCTGTAAGCTTCAGTTTCTTTATCTGTAAAATGAGGAGTAATAATGTACTTAAAGGCATATACATACATACATACATACACAAACGCATGTATGCACATAGGGCTGTGATTGAAGCCAGGGCCTTGTGCATGCTACGCAGGCTACATAGTACACAGGAAGCAGCTGTAGAGGAACAGAAAGGGAGAAAGGGAAAGAAAAGGAGAAGAAAGGGAGAAGAAAGAAAGACAGACAGACAGACAGAAAGAAAGAAAGAAAGAAAGAAAGAGAGGGAGGGAGGGAGGGAGAGAGAGAGCAAGAGAGCAAGAGAGAGAGAGAAAGGAAGGAAGGAAGGAAGGAAGGAGGGAGGGAAGGAGGGAGGGAGGGAGGAAGAGAGAAAGAAAAAGGGAGAAAGAAAGGGAGAAAGAAAGAGGGAAAGAGAAAGAGGAAGGAAGGAAGGAGAAAGGAATTAAGCTGGGTTCTGTGGAGAGAGTGAAGGAGCAGACAGAATAGGGAAATAGTTGAGTCAGATCTAATTCTGGCATCATGAGAGTGTATGAAAGTGTAGTCAGGAAAACAAGGTGATTAGGATGGGGGGATATGGAAGACGAACGGACTCCAGTTTATGAACAGAATGGTGGACTTGGGATGAACTCAAAGGACTCCTAGAGGATAAGACTGTGGTTCCTACACTAGACCATCAAAGTCTGCATGACCAGGCTGTCATAGCCAGACTGGGGGAAAGGCAGAAGGTCAGGGTAACTAGGACTTACCAGGATTCAAACCTGACTTTTGGAGCCTCCAATGTCCTCATCCATAAAGTGGGACTAATAGGCTAATACCATCTACTTCACTCCACCACTGTCAGGTGGAAGTGAAGGAGATAGTATGTATGAAGCATTCAAATAACAACAGAGAATACATCTAGCATTTCAAATCTCCTAAACCTACTGATGCTCTGCTTCACCTATTGTTCAACACAGGTCCTATGACGTCATCCCTTTAAACATGCAAACATTCACTGAGCACCAACTACATACAAACAGGCACTGACAAACATCTCTAACCAGCTAAGTCCCAATCACTTCCTTGGCTCAGCTCTCAATTACTCATCCCTACCATTTATTTTAGAACTTGTTCATATAAATTTTCCTATCATTTCATGTTCACTGGTTTTTCCTCATAAAACTAATCATTGCAAGGAACTGAAAGAGGTCTTTTTTTTATTACCATAGTGAGGATCACATATAATACAAAAAATAACTAAGAAAAGAGTCTTTAGCTTTGATTTTGCTCAAACCTCAGCTTTTTAATCATTACATCTGTCTGTGTATTTAAGTGGTTCCAAATTATGATTCTCAGATCTCAGCCTCCTGAGTAACTAGGAATATAGTTTTAAACCACTGGTACCTAGCTCTTCACATCTGTTTTGTAACCTAATGTGCAGTTTGGTATCCAAACTATTTTTTTATTGTGTGTGATCACTAGATCAAGACCAAGACTTCATGTATGCCAAGCAAATACCCTACCACTGAGCCATTTACTCCAATTCCTAAACCATTTCTTGTTTTGAGTTTTTTTTTGTTGTTTACTTGCTTGTTTGTGGAACTAGGAATTGAACTCAGGGCCCTGTGGTTGCTAGGCCATCACTTTTTTTTTTTTGGTCAGTCGTGGGGCTTGAACTCTGGGCCTGGACACTCAAGGCGAGTACTCTACCACTCTACCACTTGAGCCACAGCACCACTTCCAGTTTACTGGTGGTTAATTAGACACAAGGGGCTCACAGACTTTCCTGCCTGGACTGGCTTTGAACCACGATCCTCAGATCTCAGCCTTCTGAATAGCTAAGATTACATGCATAAGCCACCAGCGTCTGGCTTAGGCCATCATTTTTAAACCTTTTTTTTTTATGGGGGGAGGGCAGAGAGGGGGAGCAAGGAGGAGGGAAGGTTATGTGCTGGTACTGGGGCTTCTACTCAGAGCTTGTGTTCTACCACTTGAGTCATAGCTCTATTTCTAGTTTTTTTTTGTGTGATTAATTGGAGATAAAGAGTATTATGGGCTTTCCTGCCCAGGCTGGCTTCGAGCTGGAATCCTCAAGTCTCAGCCTCCTGAGTAGCCCTCAGCCCAAACCATTTCTCAACAAAACCTTTTCAATAAATAAAATCAGCATCTGAAATTGATAAAAGCAGATAAACTCTGATTAAAAAAACAAACCCAGGGCTGGGAAGGTGGCTCAGTGGTAGAGTGCTTGTCTTGCATGCATGAGGCCCTGGGTTCGATTCTTCAGCACCACATAGGCAGAAAAAAGCCGGAAGTGGCGCTGTGGCTCAAGTGGTAGAGGGCTAGCCTTGAGCTGAAGAGCTGAGGGACAGTGCCCAGGCCCAGAATTCAGGCCCACAACCGACAAAAAAAAATAAATAAAAATCCAAAGAATGAATCTGATGTGTACTTCTGTGGTACTGGCTTGAAAATGTATAGAGCACTACCAAGAGACCCCAGTTCTGACACTCACATGTTTACCTAACTTGCCTCCTCCCTCCATCTGGTCACTAAAAAGCCTGGTTATTACTCCCTACACAGGAAAATCTAAGCCTTAAGGGGAAGATTTTGAACACACAATAATTCTTTTAAAACTTGAGTTCCTGGGTAATGCTCACTCCAGGAGTACAAAATTAATAGAACTATTCCTCGGCCTTTAGCAAGTGTCTAAATTCCTTAAAGCAAACCAAGGCAAAGCTAAAATATTGCCTTGGGCAATTAGAGAACAGGACAAAGAAGCTTTTTGAGAGAGAATCTTGATAGAACACTATAAAGAACAGTCCTTACATTCAGCATCCATCAGAATGATGGCACAAAAATTCCATCAACACTAGGATCTGTCTTTTTGTTGCTAAAATAAATCCAGACAACAGCAATGGGCTTAGTGCAAGCACTCAAATCACCAGTGAATTAGAATTGTTCAGCATCAACAGAAAACAGTCAGTAGGCCTGAGATAAATGAAAATACAAGTTGCCATAGTAACTTGCACATCTAACCTAAAATGGCAGAGGTGGGGGTGGGGAAGTAGGTCAATATTTCTGCTTAACTAGCTCTATTCCTTATCTCCTGGTGTAAAATAGTGCCTTCCTCCTTCCCAATCTCCAAAAAGCGTGGGAAAGTCAGGTGAGCTTAAAAAAAAAAAATCAGACAAGGTTTAAGGGAAGGGAAAAAGAACGAGAAGAAAACCAAACCAAAATCTCACAAGTAACCTAGAACTACCCCAGGGAAAGTAGTCACTGATCAAGGGCACCAGTGCTAAGAAACTGTTGCTGGGTTACTACAAATCAGAAATTGCCATTTTCCCTTAGCAGTTTAAGTGCATCTAATGGAGCACTTGGGAATGCATTATTAACAGCTTGGGGGTAGCAGCAGTGGAAGGGAGGGGGGAATACTCCAGCAGCAAGAGAGGAATCTGAGGCCTTAGCTAGAGGTATTTTTGCTGGCTGCAAACTACAGGCTGCCCTAAAAGCAGAAGGGAGACTCAAGGGTTCCTTTTCAAAACAAGATTAACATAGAAACATAGCCTGGCCATGTGCCAGTGGCTCACACCTGTAATCCTAGATACTCAAGAGGCTGAGATCTGAGGATCACAGTTCAAAGTTGGCCCAGGCAGAAAAAAGCATGAGATTTTTTTTTTATGTAAAGATACTGTACAGAAGGGTTGTAGTTATATGAGTAAGGTACCCCCTTCTTTTGTTTTTCCCCTACTACCCCTTTCTTTTCTACCTCCCCAACTCCCCCCCCCCACCATGAGATTCTTATCTCCAATTAACCAACAGAAAACCAGAAGTACCACTGTGGCTCAAAGTGATAGAGCACTAGCCTTGAGAGAAAAGGCTCAGGGACAGAGCCCTGGCCCTAAGTTCAAGCCCCACAACTGAACAAAAAAAGAAACATAGTCTTAACACTTGGATCCATGATGATAACTAACCCAAGAGGGCAAAGGAGACTAGACTGTGGGCTGATACAGACTACCAGAGCCATTATCAGCTCTTCCAGATGCAGGCTAAACAAAAAACATTCAGAACCTGGTGTGGCCCCATGTTCCTATAGCTGTTCATGTTGGCACAGGACTAAGTTAGGGCATTGCTGAAGATTTTATCCACCTACTGTGAAAGCCCTGGTATTCTAGGAAACAACGGAAAGTGTAATAGATAAAGGGGGACAGAAAAGTAGAGGCATCTTTTAATCATTGACCTTTCTTTCTTGTGTGTATTGTACAAGACAACGACTTGTTATTTACATAGCTCCAGCTAGCCTTGAACTTACTATGTAGCTCCAGGCAGACTTTAAACTTTCTTCCCTCCAACCCAAGTGCTAGTTTCCTTAAGTGCTATGAATACAAACATGCACCATCATGCCTAGCACCAATGAATGACACCTACTGCACCATCGAAGAGAATCAAGTTTTCATAAAAAGGCCATTCAAACTTGGGAGAGGGGGGCTGGGAAGGTGGCTCAGTGCATGCATGAGGCCCTGAGTTCGATTCCTCAGCACCACATACGCAGAAAAGCTGTAAGTGGCGCTGTGGCTCAAATGGTAGAGAGCTAGCCTTGAGCTGAAGAGCTGAGGGACAGCGCCCAGGCCCAAAGTTCAGGCCCTATGACCAACCAAAAAAAACCCCAAAATCTTGGGAGAGGGTCTGACTGTGATTCAGCAGTACATCAGGCTGCAGAGTGAAGGATGGGCTTGGGCTCATCTGGGTCTGAGCAGATGTCTCCAGAAACATGGTAGTACCAAAAACATGGTGAGTTCCACATACCTCTACTCCTCTGTCCTATGAGAGTAGGGGGAGAGACTCAGAAACATGACATCATCAAGATGGATTTAGGGACCAAAAAATTGGGCTAAGATCTTAGAAGAAGAGTCCCCAGCTCAATCCTAATGTTCAGACTAGGGACAGAAGCATGCAGGAGCAGATACAGGCCTTCATATACATACCATGGGAAGAAGGACTCACTGACTGATTGTGCACAAGCTTAAGGTGGGTGGCCATAGCTACACAAGTCTACTTTAAGGGGGAAGAGAGAGAATAAACACATGCTGTTCCATCACCGCCTCCCAGGGCAGCCCAGAAAACCACCCAGGTGGCCAGCTAAGAAGCCATGAGACAATTCTTACAAGGCAGGGTCTCATTATATAGCCAAGCTGGCCTCAAACTCTCAATCCTCTGCCACCATGCCTATCTCTCTATCTCTCTGTCTCTCTGTCTCTCTGTCTCTCTCTCTCTCTCTCTCTATCTATCTATCTATCTATTTGCACTAGTCATGGGGCTTGAACTCTGGGCCTGGGCGCTGTCCCTGAGCTCTTCAGCTCAAGGTGAGTGCTCTACCACTCGAGCCACAGTTCCACTTCCAGTTTTTTAGTGGTTAACTGGAGATAAAGAGTCTCAAAGACGGGCTGGGAAGTTGGCTCAGTGGTAGAGCGCTTGCCTTGCATGCATGATGCCCTGGGTTCGATTCCTCAGCACCACATAAGCAAAAAGAAAAAAGCCAGAAGTGGCACTGTGGCTCAAGTGGTAGAGCCCTAGCCTTGAGCTGGAGAGCTGAGGGACAGCGCCCAGGCCCAGAGTTGAGGCCCCATGACCAGACCAAAAAAAAGAAAAAAAAAAAAAAAAGAATGGTAATGCCAAACAAAGCCTTACCCCTTGGATGCGAAGCTCTTTCTTTAGTGGAGCCAGGCTGCATTTCTTCCCCAGCATACAGCTATACCATCTAAGAAAAAAAATCAGCCAGTTTGTGGTGACACTTCTGAACTAAGCATTATCCAACGGAATAAGATGAAAATAGTATCGGGGGCCAATAACAAGGAATGCAGATAATATGCTTAATGTGTTGCCCAAAGCAACATGAAGAACATCAACCCTCTGCACTACATTGAGGCTTTAAGTGTCTAAAAAGAGATTGAAGAAGATGTATCTGTCACACTCAAAATAAAGGCCACTTGGCCTTAGGGCAGAAATTAATCAATAAATTTTAAAAATGCATATAAACAACCCCTACCCCATAATAAGAGAACCTATTAAGTCCTGCCTGATCACCTATTAGCCCAGATCTGCAGAATTTAAGGTTCATTAGTACATTACATCTGAAACAGATTATGGAATCAATCTGTTTTATATAAACACTAATCCAAAAATGGAGTGGGAGATGTTGGGGAAACTGGTTGCAAGGTAAAGAGATAAGAGAATTTATTTCTTCTGATTATTCAAAAAGTTTTGCAAAATATAAAATCTAAGTATCACTTTAGCCCATAAAGTATTAGTTCTACAGGAATTGTTCTTCAATTAGAGACTGAACAAAATATATAGAAACTGTTTTTCAGATACTGGACAACTGCTAGCACATTTACAACCCCAGAAAAAGAAACCAACCAGGGTAGTCCTATAGGGGCCAGTACTTGCTGCTTAAAGTAAAGCATTAGCTGAGGTGTAAGGAAAGTTAACCAAACAGAATAGCAGTCCTGATGAGCCTGGTGGGCTGACATGGGAACTCAGGAGAGTCAGTTGATTTGAGGTGCAAAGCAAATGAACAAGAGCTAATTAAATCCAACTAAGAAGAAAGGAAATAATAAAGATTAGAACAGAAACAATGAAGGGGAAAACACAAAGAAAATGGAGAACAATGAAAATTACAAGTTTAGTGAAAACCCAAAAATCCTTTAGGTCAAGGAAAAATGAAGATTTAATTATGAGTATCAAAAAGGGAAAACTGGCAAGGTATCAGCAGCTCACAAAACTCAGGACACATTGGAAATTTATTATTTAAGTCTCCTAAAAACAAACAAGAGCTCAAGAAGATTGTAGCTGAAAAGAGCCATCTACAGTTCATTTTCTAGATGGCTCCATTTCTTTCAAATGCCAGAAGTTGGAGACATGGCTCAAATGGTACACCACCAGCTAAGCAAGCAAGGTGAACAAGCATGAGGTCCTGAGTTCAAACACCAGTACCACCTTCAAAACTCCAGTACTACCAACCTCCCATCCACACCAGGCAAAAAAACTCCCAAAAAACCTTTATTAAGGGTTGAAAGTGTGGCTCAAATAGTATCAGTTGATGCAAAGAAGGCCCTGAGTTTAAATCCTTGGGGGGTGAAGGGGGGGGAGTGCGTGTGAGTGTGTGTGTTAGTAAGTAGAAAGCCAGGAGCAATAGTTCATGACTATTTCTAGCTATTCAGGAGGTTGAGATCAGGAGGATCTCAGATTGAGTCCAGCCTGGACAAAAAGTTTGTTAAGACTCCATTTCAACCAAAGTTAATATTATGCAAAGTAGTGCTATACCTGCCATCCAGCTTATATAGGAAGTATATAAATAGGAGGATCATGGTACAGGCTAGCCTAGGCATTAAGTGTAAGATTCTATTAAAAAACAATCAAGCTTGGACTGGGAAGGTGGCTCAGTGGTAGAGTGTTTGCCTTGTATTCATGAGGCCCTGGGTTTGATTCCTCAGCACCACATAAGCAGAAGAAGCTGGAAGTGGGGCTGACTCTCAAGTGATAGAGTGCTAGCCTTCAGCTGAGAGCTGAGGAACAACAGCCAGGCCCAGAGTTCAGGCCCCACGATAAGGAGAAAAAAAAAAAAAAGAAATCAATTAAAGCAAAAATATCTTAACTTTTGGCATCAGTAATATGGAACTTTTCTAAGGGACAAATCACAATAGTCAAGCTGCTTTCCACAAACATTTGAATAAACTCAGTGATACACTGGGCTGGCTTTGAACTGTAATCCTCAGATCTGAGCCTCCTGAGTTGCCAGGATTACAGGCATGAGATCAGTGCCTCACTAAGTAGCCCGGGCTGGCCTCAGTGAGAGTTAGGTGTGTGAGAGTGTGCTTAAAATAAGCAGCTTTAGATACTTATAGGGAAAAAAAAATCTTCCCTCTCCAGCAATGTGCATCTGGGCATACAGACAGAAGAACTGATGGCTCAAAAACTGCCAGTCTTGAGACCCCCTATTTATATACCCATGCTCCTGCGATTCAGTCACAAGAGTCAAATGGCAAGAGCAACAAGAATCCAACAATGGACAAAGAAAATATGGTTTACATGCACAGAAAAATTTATATTATATCTTTAAAAAGGAAATTCTGAGACATGCTATGTCATTGGCTGAAGCTTGAAAACTATACTAAGTGAAGTCAGGCACTGAATGATTCTTGTTTTGCCAGTCCTAGGTGCTGTTCCTGAGCTCCTTTTGCTCAAGGCTTGTGCTCTATCACTTGAACTTCCAGATTTTTCTGTGCTTAACTGAAGATAAGAGTCTCACAGGGGCTGGGAATGTGGTAGAGTGCTTGCCCAGCATATATGAAGCCCTGGGTTCGATTCCTTAGTACCACATAAGCAGTGGCTCAAGTGGTAGAGTGCTAGCCTTGAGCCAAAGAAGCTCAGGGACAGTGCCCAGGCCCTGAGTTCAAGCCCCAGAACTGGCAAAAAAAAAAATCTCACAGACTGTCCTGCCTGGACTGGCTTGGAACCCCAATCCTCAGATCTCAGCCTCCAGAGCAGCTAGGATTACAGGCAAAGGCCCCTAAGGAAGTCAAATCCATAGAGAAGAAAGTAGAATGTGGGGCCAGTGGCTGGGAGGAGGGAAGGAACAGAATAGAGTCAGAGCTTTAGAAAATGAAGAGTTCTGGGACTGGTTGTGCAACAATGTGAGCGTACTTCACACTACTAAACTATATACCAATAAAACTATGGGACAGGATAGGTAGGGTGCTTGCCTAGCATATATGAGGTCCTGGGCTACATCTTTAGCACCACAAAACACAATAACTATTAAGACAGTAGTAAATGTAGTCAGGCACCAGTGGCTCACACCTGGCAGAGAAGTCCATGAGACTCTCATCTCTAATAAACTACTCAGAAAAAGCCAGAAGTGGTGTTGTGGCTCAACAAGTCGAGCACAAAGAGGCTCAGGGACAGAACCCAGTCCCCGGGTGTTCAAGCTCCACAACCAACCAAAAAAAAAAAGGGGGGGGGATGATAATGTTATGTGTATTTCATACACACATACACACTCTCCTCTCTCTCTCTCCCCCAAAAGCTGAATTCTAGGGTTAAAAACTCTTTCTGCGTTGAACTACATTATCCATCAAGTTGACAATGTGTCAGGGTACAAAGTCAAGAGAGACAGCAGCCCTTTTTCAGTACCTTATGCTGCTTGATGACAGGTGTGTTGTCCTAAATAATTAGCTTTTGAAAAAGAATAGCTTTAATTCTCTTTGGGCACTGGTTAGTGATCTATGTTTCCCTTCATTAGGTTCTTGACAGCTCTTTGTCCTCACATCTGTCACTGTTTGGAAGATTGATTCCAAGAACATAAATTGCTTCAAGGACTAGGCAACAAATTTATTCTGGTTCACAGGACAGATTTGAATCCATCTGTTTTCTCATCAAAAGCCATATTTAAACAGTTTTGTTCCATCACAGGACCATATTAATGGGAGCAATACAATCATATGGTATTTTCCTCCTTTTTATCTGTGGCGTACAGATGACTAGGGAAACACACATCAATTAGAGAGCATTATCAAAAGCAGGGCCAGGCAATGGTGAATCATGCCTGCAATCCTAGACACTCATGAGGCTGAGATCTGGAGGTCTGAAGCTCAAGGCCAGCCTGGGCATCTCCAAACTAACCTGTAAGTGGGGCTGATGGTTTAAATAGTAGAGCACCAGCAAAGCAAGAACACTGAGCAATTGGTGAGGCCCTCTTTTCAAACCCAGGTACCACCAAAACAAAAAACCAAAACAACAATAATAACAAAAAACAAACAAGAAAAAGTGTCTCGGCCTAATGTAGGGTTCACTACCTTTTCATTCTTATCTCTTTTTTCCTTTTTTCTTTTTTTGGTGCTGGTGCTAGAGCTTGACCTCACGGCCTGAGTGCTGTCCTTGAGGTTTTTTCACTTAAGGCTTTCAATCTACTACTTGAGCCCCAGCTCTACTTCTGCCTTTTTTGTGGGTAATGGGAGATAAGCGTATCATAGGAGGTGGAGCTGTGGCTCAAAGTGGTAGAACACTAGCCTTGATCAAAAGAGCTCAGGGACAATGCCCAGGCCCTGAGTTCCAGTCCCATGACAAAAAAGTCTCATGGACTACCCATGGCTTCAAACACTGATCCTTAAATCTCAGCCTCCTGAGTAGCTAGGATTATAAGCATGAGCCACTGGTGCCAGTTGTTTATTCTCTAGACTTTAGGACTACTTTTCCTCTGGGTGGCTTGGTTTCTTTCTTTCTTTTTTTTTTGGTCCAGTCATGGGGCCTGAACTCTGGGCCTGGGCGCTGTCCCTCAGCTCTTCAGCTCAAGGCTAGCGCTCTACCACTTGAGCCACAGCGCCACTTCTGGCTTTTTTCTTTTTGCTTATGTGGTGCTGAGGAATCGAACCCAGGGCCTCAGGCATGCAAGGCAAGCGCTCTACCACTGAGTCACCTTCCCAGCCCCGCTTGGTTTCTTTAGGAATTATACAAAGACAAATATTCTGACTCTAACAGCCAACTTACCTTAATCGTTTTTTAAGTTGTAAACTGTCATGGATGATCCTTTTAACAAACTCTAATTCACCTCCTTCTGCCATGATCTCTGTGATTCCTCCTGTATTGACAGAACTAGGTGGAGGCCTTCGAGGATTTCTAGAGTTTACCCCCTGAACAACAACAAAGTCATGGTGAAAATGTTTACATCTCTTAAGATGCAAGTCTCTGTATCATCTAGCTGTAGTAGCAAAGCTTAAATCTACTTTTATTTTCTAAACATTACACTAGTCTTAAGATTTAAAAATCATAGCCAGTACAATGTTATACTTTAAACAAATGCATTCATGCAAATATTCCTCCCTAGAGACTTTACCTTTCATCTTTGTGATTAAATATAAAAAATTTTACCTTTTTATATTAGCCCAATCTGTTGCTTTTCCTCTATGCTTTCTGTCTTGATACCATGGCACAGGAAATCTACCCAAAGATTAAATCAATATTTACTTATGTTTTCTTCTAGTATTTTTTGGTTTTTAAATACTTAAGTATTTAACCCATCCTTATTTCATATCATATGTAAAAAATGAACTCGGGGCTGGGAAGGTGGCTCAGTGGTAGAGTGCTTGCCTTGCATGCCTGAGGCCCTGGGTTCCATTCCTCAGTACCACATAAGAAGAAAGAAAAAAGCCGGAAGTGGCACTGTGGCTCAAGTGGTAGAGCACTAGCCTTGAGCTGAAGAGCTGAGGGACAGCGCCCAGGCCCAGAGTTCAGGTCCCACAACCAGACCCCCCCCCAAAAAAAAAGAAAAAGAAAAAAAAAATGAACTCAAAATCGATCTACAACCTAAGTGTAAGAGCTATAACTTTAAAACCCAGAAGAAAACATAGAAGTAAATCTGCATTAATTTGGATTAGCCAGTGGTTTCTTAGATACAATACAAAGAGCACAAGAACAACTAAAAAGGGGCTGGGAAGTTGGCTCAGTGGTAGAACGCTTGCCTTGCATGCAAGAGGCTCTGGGTTCGATTCCTCACCACCACATAAGCAAAAAGAAAAAAGCCGGAAGTGGTGCTGTGGCTCAAGTGGTGGAGCTCTAGACTTGAGCTGAAGAGCTGAGGGACAGCACCCAGGCCCAAAGTTCAGGCCCCATGACCGGACCCAAAAAAAAATAAAAAATAATAATAAAAAAAAAGAACAACTAAAAAGAAAGATAAAATTGGACTTGATCAAAATCAAAAGCCTCTGCATTGTAAAGGACAATATCAAGAAAGCCAGATGCTGATGGCTTTCACCTGTAATCCTAGCTACTCAGAAGGCTGAGATCTAAAGATGGTGGTTCAAAGCCAGGTTGGGCAGAAAAGTCTGTGAGACTCTTATCTCCAATTAGCCACCAGAAAATCAGAAGTGGAGTTGTGGCTCAAGTGGTAGTGCTAGCCTAAAGCAAAAATTCTCAAAAGGCAGCCTCCACATCCCAAGTTCTAAGCTCTAGAGCCTGCACTAAAACAAACAAAGCCAGGTTCTTGCTGGTAATCTTGCTATTCAGCAGACAGAGATCCAAAAGATCACAGTTTGAAGCCAGGGCAGGCAAAAAGTTCACAAGACCCAGTCTACCATAAAAGTTGTCATCCCAAGCCAGGTGCTGGTGGCTCATGCCTGTAATCCTAGCTATTCAGGAAGCTGAGATCTGAGGATCACAGTTCAAAGCCAGCCAGGGCAGGAAAGTCCATGAGACTCTTATCTCCAATAAACTACTAGAAAACCAGAAGTGGCGCTGTTGCTCAAGCAGTAGAGCGCTTGCCTTGACCTGAAGAGCACAGGGACAGCCCAGAGTTCAAGCCCCACAACCAAAAAAAAAAAAAAAGTTGCCATCCTGTCTATGAGGGAAACATGAAGGAGGAGGCAGTCCAGGGCAGCCAAGGCAAGAAAATAATCAGAGCAAAAAGGGCTAGAGGCATGGTTCAATAGGTAGAATGTTTGACTAGTAAGTGAAAAGACTTGAGTTCAAACCTTAGTATCATTATTTTAAAAAGTGAAAAGACAACCCAGAGAATGAGAAAAATGTTCAGAAATTATTATCTAATAAAGAACTTGCATCTAGGATATATAAGGAAACCTTCCAACTTAATAAGCAAAATAACCCAATTTAAAAATGGACAAGAAGGCTGGGAAGGTGGCTCAGTAGTAGAGTACTTGCCTTGCATGCAAGATGCCCTGGGTTAGGTTCCTCAGGACCACATAAGCAGAAAAAGTCGCAAGTGGCACTATGGCTTAAGTGGTAGAGCGCTAGCCCTGAGCTGAAGAGCGAGGGACAGCGCCCAGGCCCAGAGTTCAGGCCCCATGACCGACCAAAAAAAAAGACAAGAAGAGTGGAGAACTTAGAATATTAAAAAAGAAAAAGAAAAAAACAACAAAGACAATTAGGCCTGGGCTCAGTGGTAAAGTAGGATATTGAGCACATCTAAGGCACTGGGTTGAATGCTCAGCACTGCAAAAAGGTGGGGAGGGTCAGAGGCAAGGGATCTAAAAAGGCAAGTTGCCAAAGGATTTTAAAGAAATGGCCAATAAGCACATGAAAAGATTCTTAGCACTGTCAGCCATCATGAAAAAGCTAATCAAAACCAAAGTAAGATGCTACTTCCCACCCACTAGGAAGCTATAATGAAAAAAGACATCCACGAGGATGTGGAAAATTAGAATGCTAATGCATTGCTGTTTACAGGAATGTAAAGTAGCACAGTCACATAGGAAAACTATCTGGCAGTTCCTGAACCAATGAACCACACAGCTACCTACTATTGGATCCAGTTTCATTCCTGGGTCTATAGCCAAGATAAACAAAAACCTAGGTCCCTGTACATGGATGCTAGAGTACCACTGCTAAGAGCCAAGAGGTGGAAAACACCAACACCTACTAGCTGCTGAGCAGGTAATTCATGTGTTATAGCCATATGATGGAATATTACTTGGCAACCAAAAGAAACATGGATGAACCTTGAAATATTTGTATCTCCATAAAAGAAGTCAGAAACAAAGGGCCAGAGTATATGATTCTATTTATATGGAAAGCCCACAACAGGCTGATCTACAGAGACAGGCCTCAGGGTGCTTGGGAGAAATCAAGAGTGAGGGCTGGGATGTAGCTCAGTGGCAAAGCGCTTGCCTAGCAAGTGCAACGTCCTGGGTTCGATCCCCAGTACCAAAAAAGAAAAGACAAAAAAAATACAGTTAAAACAAACAAACAAACAGAAATCAAGAGTGAGTGTTAATGACTAAGAGGTTTTTATTCCTGGGTTGATGAAAATGTTCTAACTGGCTAGGCAGGTGCTGTACCACTTGAGGCATGTCCCAGCCCTCATTTGAAGTTGGAAAGATTAAAATCACCTACTCATTTATCATCAAGTAAAGGTGCTAGCAAAAAACAGTAGTTCCAGGCTAGGAATATGGCTTAGTGGTAGAGTGCTCGCCTCACATGCATGAGGCCCTGGGTTCGATTCCTCAGCACCACATAAGCAAAAAGAAAAAGCCGGAAGTGGGTGCTGTGGCTCAAGTGGTAGAGTGCTATCCTTGAGCTGAAGAGCTGAGGGACAGCGCCCAGGCCCAGAGTTCAGGCCCTACGACAGACCAAAAAAAAAAAAAATAGTAGTTCCCTAATCCAATAAGCTCAGTGCATAAGTGACTGCAACCTGTTAGTCACATCAGAAAAACACAATCAAGGGGCTGAGAAGGTGGCTTAGTGGTAGAGCATTTGCCTTGCATGCTCGAGGCCCTGGGTTTGATTCCTCAGCACCACATAAGAAAAAAGCCGGAAGTGGCCCTGTGGCTCAAGTGGTAGAGTGCTAGCCTTGAGCTGAAGAGCTGAGGGACAGCACCCAGGCCCAGAGTTCAGGCCCCACTACCGGACCCAAAAAAAAAAAAAAAAAAGAAAAACACAATCAAATGTCCAGTGATTTGGGGAGAGAAAACAGCTCCTTCTTCTTCATCTTACTTCACTAAATATTGTTTCTCCCACAACTAAAGCAGCCAGAGAACAAAAACAGCTAAGGACTAGGTCAGAGCCAAGAGAAACCCAGATAATCAGAGCCTCAGCCTTTATGAGATTTCATTGATCAAATTGTTCATGAAATTCAGACTACTGCTGTTATTTCTCAAATACCTAAGCCAATAAACTTTCTTGGCTGTTAAGTTAATCTGAAGTGGGTTTTTAAGTCCTTCAAACCAAAAGCATCATAACCAATACAGCTTCCACTACAGCATCCAAAGTAAAGGGTACCTTTGCTTTTATCTCTGTGAACAGGGTAAATTCAGGTAAATACTAAATGACTTTAAAGCAAAAGATATCTTTACCTTGGCTTCCAACTGGTTTGCAAAAAAGGGAGGATTGCACATACAAAAGTCATAGATTATTTCAGATTCTTCCTTGAGAGCATCCATTAGGAGTGTCTTCTGGGGTACTTTCACCACTAGGAAAAAAATAGAACTGTTGACTATGCCTTAAATATGTGCACAAAAGAAAAAAGAAAATGTATACAAACTGTCTGATACTATTTCCTAAAAGAGGTGCAGTTTAAAATTTTCCTCCTTGAGAGGAAGCCACATTTAGTGACAGATTTTATCAAAAAGTAGGACAGAAGTAACGACAGGACCCTCTCCTTGCCTTTCCCTTGAACAGTCACTCTAGGAAAGGCCCTTTGACATGCTGTTAAGATTCAGGTGGCCACAAACTAAAGCTTTCTTCCAGCTCCATGTGAGTAAGCCCTTTTGGAAGCAAAATTCTTTTTTTGGGGGGGGGGGGTCTGGTCGTAGGGCCTGAACTCTGGGCCTGGGAACTGTCCCTCAGCTCTTCAGCTCAAGGCTAGTGCTCTACCACTTGAGCCACAGCACCAATGGAAACAAAGTTCTATCAGCAATTGAGCCCTCAAATGACAGCTGCATCTTACAACCAGAGTGTAGCTTCATGAAAGACAATAAGGCAAACTGCAAGCCCCACTGCCTGACCCACAGGGACTATGAAATCAATCATAAATACCCACTTGAAATGGATAGATTTTGTAGCAATTTGTTATACAACAATGGGAATTAAAACAAATCCATTAATGATATCAGTATTTTCCCCTTGCAATATGTTTAACATTCCCAGGAAGGCCTTATTTTTAAGAAGACAGTAAAATCACTGTAATAAAAAAAATTAGGGCTGAGAAGGTGGCTCAGTGGTAGAGCGCTTGCCTTGTATGCATGAGCGCCTGGGTTCGATTCCTCAGCACCACATAAGCAAAAAGAAAAAAGCCGGAAGTGGCGCTGTGGCTCACATGGTAGAGTGCTAGCCTTGAGCTGAAGAGCTGAGGGACAGTGCCCAGGCCCAGAGTTCAGGCCCCATGACCCAACCCAAAAAAAAATTAATAGCACTTCATATATGGGCCACTAAAAAACATACAACAACAACAACAAAAAATCAGTTAACCAATTACTCAAGAATTTGATTTCTCAGTAAGTGCCAGGTACAAAAATTTAAAAGCTAGTACTAGCCAGGTCTGGTGGTGCATGCCAGCAATCACAGCTACTCAGAAGATTTAAGGTGGAAGAATCACAAGTTTGAGGCCTGTCTGGACAACATAGAGAGATTCTGCCTTAAAATGAAAAAAAAAAAAGTTGGGTAGGATTTTATTTTATTTTATTTATTCTTTGAGTACTGGGGACTAATTAGGGTCGTAAGAATGCTAGCAAGGGGCTGGGAGTGTGGCTTAGTGGTTGAGTGCTTACCTCGCATGCATGAAGCCTTGGGTTTGATTCCTCAGTACCACATAAAGCCAGAAGTGGTGCTGTGGCTTAAATGGTACAAATGGTAGAGTGCTAGAATTGCGTAAAAGAAGCTCAGGGACAGTGCCCAGGCCCTGAGTTCAAACCTCAGGACTGGCAAAAAAAAAAAAAAGAATACTATCAAGAACTCTACAAATGAACTACATCCCTGTCCCTTCATTTGTCCAAAACTGCATAATGTACATCACCAAGAGTAAGCCTCAGAATAAACTGTGGAATCTGGGTATTGAAGATGTGTCACCCTGATGTGGGATGTTGATAATGGGGAGGTTGTGCATGTGAGGGTGGGGGTACATGGGAAGTCTACCTTCTACTCAACAACTGTGAAGTGCTCTGTAACTAAACTGTACTGCAAATGCCTATAGTTCAAATCCACTCAGGCAGAAAAGTCTGTGAGACTCTTTATCTCCAATTAACCAGCTAAACTGGAGGCATCTCAAGTGCTAGCTGTAAGCAAAAAAGCCAATTAAATGTGAGGCCCTTAGTTCAAGCCCCAATACTGACACATGCACACACAACATAATTCCAGTATCAAAATAGCAAATCCAATTATAATGTATTGTTGTTTTTTTTTAATTATCAAAGTCGCTGGGCACTAGTGGCTCACGCCTGTAATCCTAGCTACTCAGGAGGCTGAGATCTGAGGAATGTGGTTCAAAGCCAGCCTGGGCAGGAAAGTCCGTGAGACTCTTATCTCCAATAAACCACTCAGAAAACCAAAAGTGCCACTGTGGCTCAAGTGGTAGAGCACTAGCCTTGAGCTGAATAGCTGAGGGACAGCGCCCAGACCCAGCCCCCGCGACCAACAACAACAAGTTTTTTTTTTTAAGTCAATTCATTTAAGAAAAAAAAAAAAGACATATTAAACTAGAATAGATAACATTTGAAGGGGATATTTATTCTGCTGAGCTAACCTTTTATTAGGTCAGATAAGTTATTCTGTTCCACATTTTTCTTGGCATAGTTGAAACACATATCATCCACTTCTGTTGCAAGGAAATACCAGCCATTCAAAGTTGCTCCAAGTAAAGGGTAGATGCAGGAGGCCCCAGTTCCTAGGGAAATGAAATGTCAGAACACATTCTTCACACATTCTCTTCTCAGAAGCCTCCTGGTTTTTGCAGTTTAAATCACCAACCAGGACATATGGGGCTGCTGGCCTCTCTAGTTGCTTCATGTTTGTGAACCTTACTTCCTAAGTAACATCAAACTTCCTGCTACCCTCTTCTTTTGCACACTAAATTTAAAATGAAAACACATGTAATTGGAGCCCCAGGAATCCACTACATAAAAATGGTCAATACTCAATCTATTTGTGTTACAAAAAGTTTTCATAAGCAGACACTGGGTGGCTCATGCCTGTAATCCTAGCTACTCAGGAGGCTGAGATTTGAGGATGGCGGTTCAAAGCCCACCAGGCAGAAGAGTCCCCATGAAACTCTTATCGCCAATTAACCACTCAAAAACAAAAAAATGGCATTGTGGCTCAAATGGTAGAGAACTAGCCTTGTGTACAAAGAGGCTCAAGGAACAGTAACTGGCCCTGAGTTCAAACCCATAACCAACCAAAAGAAAAAAGTTTCATTTTAATTCTTTTCTTTTTTGCCAGTCATGGAGCCTGAACTCTGGGGCTGGGTGCTGTCCCTCAGCTCTTCAGCTCTACCACTGGAGCCACAGCGCCACTTCCTGTTTTTTCTGCTTATGTGGTGCCGAGGAATTGAACCCAGGGTCTCATGTTTGCAAAGCAAGCACTCTACCACTGAGCTACCTTCCCAGCCCCTAATTCTTTTCTCTCTTTTTTTAATTTTGCTAATCCTGGGGCTTAAACTCAGGGCCTGGGCACTGTCCCTGAGCTTCTTTTGCTCAAGGCAAGCACTCTACCACCTGAGCCACAACACCACTTCTGGCCTTTTCTGCTTATGTGGTACTAAGGAATCGAACCCAGGGCTTCATGCCTGCTAGGCAAGCACTCTACCACTAAGCCACATTCCCAGCTTCATATAATTTTTTTTTTGGGGGGGGGGTCCAGTCGTGGGGCCTGAACTCTGGGCCTGGGCGCTGTCCCTCAGTTCTTCAGCTCAAGACTAGCGCTCTACCACTTGAGCCACAGCGCCACTTCCGGCTTTTTTTCTTTTTTTTTAAATTTTTTTTGGGTCCGGTCGTGGGGCCTGAACTCTGGGCTTGGGCGCTGTCCCTCAGCTCTTCAGCTCAAGGCTAGTGCTCTCTACAGCGCCACTTCCGGCTTTTTTCTTTTTGCTTATGTGGTGCTGAGGAATCGAACCCAGGGCCTCATGCATGCAAAGCAAGCACTCTACCACTGAGCTACCTTCCCAGCCCCTTCTTTTTTTTTTTTAATGTGGTGCTGAGGAATCGAACTCAGGGCCTCATGCATACAAGGCAAGCACTCTACCACTGAGCCACTTTCCCAGCCCCCATATAATTCTTTTTTGTTTGTTTTTGGTTGGTCATGGGGCTTGAACTCTGGGCCTGAGCTCTGTCCCTCAACTTACCATTTGAGCCACAGGACCACTTGTGGTTTTCTGGTGGTTAGAGATAAGAGTCTCATGAACGCTCTTGCCCAGGCTGGCTTTGAATCATGATCCTCAGATCTCAGCCTCTGAATAGCTAGGATTATAGACATGAGCTATCGGCGCCTGGCTCATTTTAATTCTTCTACAAAATCTCTTTCCCCCTCTCTTCCTCCCCTCCCCGCATCTCTCTTTCTTCCCTCTCTCTTTTTCTCTCTGTCCTCCATGCTTTCTGAGCTTTTGTACCCAGGGCTTAGTGCTCTACCACTTGATCCATAGCTCCTCTTTGGCTTCTTTTCGTAGTTAATTGGAGGCTCCTGGGCTCTCCTGCCCTGGCTGCTGGCTTTGAACCAGACTTCTCAGATTTTAGCATACTGAGAAACTAGGATTACAGGTGTGAGTCACCAGCAAAACTCAATTTTCTTAAAAAAAAAAATTCAATGCTATTGGTTAAATTAGCTATTTTATATCACCACAGAAATATTAATATAGAAATATTAATATAAAGCTGGACATGGTAATACACATGTGTAGTCCTAGTACTTGGAGAGGGGCACAGGCAAAAGAATTGAGGCCAACCTGAGCTACAGAGCAAGACCTTGTTTCCAAAAAAAAACCAGACAATATATACATACAAAACACAACAGCAAGCTAGGCACCAGTGGCTTATGCCTATAATCTTAGCTACTCAGGAGGCTGAGATCTGAGGATCACAGTTCAAAGCTAGCCCAAGCAGGAAAGTCCAGGAGACTCCTATTTCCAATTAATCAAAGTGGCTCAAAGTGGTAGAGTGCTAGCCCTGAGAGAAAAAGTTCAGGGACAGCACCAAGGTCCTGTGTTCAAGCCCTATGACAAATAAAACAAAGAAACAGGGTAAGTATATGCACTCATCTCCAAAAGCAGAAAAAAATATATAAGGCAAAATTTTCCTGACATCAAAAGATCCAATTACCCACATTTCCATAAAAGTCAAAGCCACTGGCTGGACTTACCACAGATTCAAGGCACACAACTCATAGGGTGACACTCCAAACAAAAATCAGTCTTTGACAAGGAGGGTTTGGTCTTTAACTCCCATGCAGAGCCTCAGCCCTGGACCAGTTTACATACCAACCACAAATATTCCTCCTACAACCACAAACTAATCTTGACCAATCAGATCCTAAGCAAGGACATTTGGGAGACATCCGGTTTTTCTGAGAAGGCCTACTGCAGCCAAGCCTAACCTGGCCATTCTAGGGTTGCTTTCCCTGACTGCCCTTAAAGATCTGGCATGAAGGTGAGGCTGAAGGCCTCCTAACCCACAGGAAATCCAGGCTCCTATTATTGCTTCTTCATGCAGTATTCTCAACAAGCTAGGAAAAGGAAGAAAGGCCAATGACTGACTAATGCTGCAACAGTTAAGCTTAGTCAGTCACAGTATTTGCTGCCCAAATCTCCAGACCTGATGCTCCAAGGGTGAACACATGAGGATCTATGATGGGGGAGGGGAGGAACAAAATGCACTTAGACTTCTCCCAAAACCATGTTATTTAGCCTTGACGGCTAGTCTTTCAATTTCCTAGCACTTTCAGCTCCATAGGCAAAAAAGAAAATTCAGATTCACATAGCTGCTCCTCTCTTCATAGCTCCACTTCATTTCAAAGAAAACAAAAACTGCACTTACCTTTAGGGCAAAAAATGTAGGTAAAATGTCCATTCACCCCCCCAAAAGTTCCTCAATTCTCAAGACCAAAATGCTTGTAACTTTGACACCCTAATCCCCTCAGAAAGTCAAATGACATTTTAAGTGGGTAATAATCTTAATAAAAAATAAAAATGGAAAGTATATAATCATAGAATTAGAGCAAACTGATGAGAGTCTGGGGGAAGAATTTATATAAAACCCTAATTAGAATGAATGTGATTTCAGCTAGAATTGCTTGTCTCTGGTGAAGAGCTAAAATCCATTAACCTCCTATATCCCCAAGTGCTATTTCAAAGGGTTTGGGGCATAATTAAAATTAAATTAGCACCAAGAATAGGCTGTGAAGCTTTTTTTAAAAAATTATTTTTTAGAGAGGTGCTTGCCAAATAACCCAATCTGATATTGAACTCATAGTCCTACCTCAATCCCAAGTGCTTGTATTACAGGTATGTGCACCAAACCTGGCTTGTACACCTTTTAAAGCTTTCTAGAATACACCAGTCAATCTTCTGCCATGAACATAATAAGGATAATGATAAGAGCCTTAGGTAAAACCTGGCACTGGTTCCTAGCTACTCAGGAGGCTGAGATCCAAGAATAGTGATTTGAAGCCAGCCCAGGCAGAAAAGTCAGTGACTTTTTTTTTTTTTGGAGGGGGGGGGTCAGTCCTGGGCTTAAACTCAGGTCCTGAGCACTATCCCTAAGCTTTTTTTTGCTCAACACTAGCACTCTACCACTTGAGCCACAGTGACACTTCCAGCTTTTTCTGTTTATATGGTACTGAGGAATCAAACCCAGCTTCATGCATGCTAGTCAAACACTACCACTAAACCACATTTCCAGACCTCTGTGAGACTCTTATCTCCAATTAACCATGGAGCTGTGGCTCAAAGTACTAGAGCACTAGTTTTGAGCAAAAATGCTCAGGGAAGCTGGGCGCCAGTGGCTCACGCCTGTAATCCTAGCTACTCAGGAGGCTGAGATCTGAGGATCACAGTTCAAAGCTGTGGGGGGGGAGGATTGAGTGGGGGGGGAGGCTGGGAAGGGATGGGAAGGGGAAACAAAGGAGGAGGCTACAATGTACTCATTATCTTGCCCATGTAATTGTAACCCTTCTGTACAGTATTTTCACAATAAAAAATAAATAAAAATTAAAAAAAAAAAAGCCAGCCTGGGTAAGAATGTCCATGAGACTCATCTCCAATAAACAACTAGAAAACTGAAACTGGTGCTGTTTCTCAAGTAGTAGAGCACTCACCATAAGCTGAAGAGCTGAGGGACAGCACCCAGGCACAGAGTTTAAGCACTACAACTGACCAAAAAAAAAAAAAAAAAAACTCAGGGACAGTGCCCAGGCCCTGCCTTAAAGCCTAAGGACTGGCATAAGCACACACATACAAAGTGAGTGAAGATCATAAAGATAATATTGAAGACACACACACATTAGTGCTGTGTTGAGAGCCAACAACTCTTCTCAGCAAAACCAATGGCAGAAAAGCCCCGATATAGCAAATAAGAATAGCAGTATTTGCGGGGTGCTGGTGGCTCACACCTGTAATCCTAGCTACTCAGGAGCTGAGATCTGAGGACAGTTCAAAGCCAGCCCATGCAGGAAAGTCCGTGAGGCTCTTATCTCTAATAAACCACCAGAAAACTGGAAGTACCACTGTGGCTCAAGCGGAAGAGAACTCAGCTTGAGCTGAAGAGCGCAGGGACAGTGCCCAAGCCCAGAGTTCAAGCCCCACGACCAACAACAACAACAAAAAAAGCAGTATATGAGGCTAGCTTCTTTCATACAACCAATACCTAGCAGAGGAAGCCTATGAAGAATATGACCTTGTAAAATTTAAAACTTAAATTAAAAAAGTTAAAACTATGTACCTATGTCAATTCCTCTTCGGAGAGTACTTTTGTCAGATTCCTGGTGGCCGATCAGGTCTTCTACCCAATGGATATAGTTGAGTCTCAAGGGAACTGTGGGAATTAGTCTCTCCAATGGAATATCAATAGAAAGTCCAAAATCTTCCTTTAGGAGAGTACAAGTCAGAGCTCTGACTGCTTCAGGGTCTTTAAAATTAAGACTGAGGGATGGAGAGAAAGAAGTCAACATGATTAGTAAGATTCACTTCTGCTATACAAGTTGTATGACAGAGTTCATCATGCCCAAATGCCTACTTGACTCTCCTAGTGAGAGCTCACATGAAGGAAGAGCTGTGTTTAACACTCTCACAGCCTGTAGAAGATGGTGTTGCTTTCCACCAAACTACTGCATGCCCACACATGAAGCATGTTGATTAAGAATATGTTCCCAAGCCAGTGGTTCACACCTGTATTCTTAGGTACTCAGGAGGTTAAGATCTGAGGATCATGGTTTGAAGCCAGATGGGGAAGAAAAGTTCATGAGACTTTTATCTCCAATAAACTACTCAGAAAAAGCTGGGAGTGATGCTATGGCTCAAGTGGTAGAACACTAACCTTGAGCACAAAGAGGTTCAGGGATAGCACCCAAGCCTACAGTTCAAGCCCCAGGATCAGCGAGAGAGAGAGAGAGAGAAAAGAAAGGAGGGAAGGAGGGAGGGAGGGAGGGAAGGAAGAAGGAAGGAAGGAGGAAGGAAGGAAGGAAGGAAGGAAGGAAGGAAGGAAGGAAGGAAGGAAGGAAGGAAGGAAAAAAAGAAGGAGGAAGGAAGGAAGGAAGGAAGGAAGGAAGGAAGGAAGGAAGGAAGGAAGGAAGGAAGGAAAAAAAGAATATGTTCCCATTCTAAGGTCCCCTTACTCAGGACCATTTCTTTAACCTCTGTGATTATGTCCACAACTGTAAAGTGAGGGAAGCAGGACCTGCCTTACAGCGCTGCCGTGTTGTATAGGGGCTGGGAAGGTGGCTCAGTAGTAGAGCACTTGCTTCGCATACATGAAGCCCTGGGTTCCATTCCTCAGCACCACATAAGCAGAAAAAAGCCAGAAGTGGGAGCTGTGGCTCAAGTGGTAGAGCGCTAGCCTTGAGCTGAAGAGCTGAGGGACAGTGCCCAGGCCCCGAGTTCAGGCCCCACAACTGACAAAAAAAAAAAAGAGAGAGAGAAAGAAAGAAAGAGAGAGAGAAAGAGAGAAGGAGGGAGGGAGGGAGAAAGAGAGGGAGGAAGGAAGGAAGGAAGGAAGGAAGGATTGATTGATTGATTTTGTGCTGGGCACTGGTGGCCTAGAATCCTAGCTAGTCAGGAGGCTGAGAACTGAGGATGGTAGCTGGATGCCACCCAGGACTGGAAAGTCTATGAGACTCTTTTTTTTTTGGGGGGGGGTCCAGCTTTTTTCTTTTTGCTTATGTGGTGCTGAGGAATCGAACCCAGGGCCTCAGGCATGCAAGGCAAGCACTCTACCACTGAGCCACCTTCCCAACCCTCTATAAGACTCTTATCTCCAACTAACCACCAGAAAACAAAATGGAGATGTGGCTCAAAGTGATAGAATACTAGTCTTGAGCTGAAGAGCTCAGGGCCCAGGCCCCAAGTTCAAGACCCATGAATGACAAAAAAAAAAAAAAGTAAATCTTTTTTTTTCCCACTAATATCACTGACATCATCTGACACAGGTATTCTTTGAAAATCATCCTTTAAAATGGAAAGAAAGACGCATCAAATCTTCACAATTAAAAATATACTAGGGGCTGGAAATGTGGCTTAATGGTAGAGTGCTTGCCCAGCATGCATGACCCCTGGGTTTTATTCCTCAGTACCACATAAGCAGAAAATGCTAGAAGTGGTGCTGTGGCTCAAGTGATAGAGTGCTAGTCTTGAGCAAAAACAGATAAAATAAAAATAAAAATACACTAAAATACCTAAATAGAGCTATTTCAGACATCAAATTTAATATAACTTTTTTGGGGTAGAGGTCTCCTATATAGCCAAGGGTAGCCTCAAACTTTTAATCCTCCTGCCTCCATCCCCAGGGTGCTAGATTATAGGAATGTACTACCACACCCAGAGTAGTACATAGTACATTAACAGAGTTCTGTAACCATCCCTACAATCCTATTAGAGGACACACAAAAGAACTGCCAGCTCAAGCTGGGTGCTGGTGGCTCACACCTGTAATCCTACCTCCTCGGGAGGCTGAGATCTGTGGATCACTGTTCAAAGCCAGCCTGGGTAGGAAAGCCCATGAGACTTTTTTTTTTGTCCATCATGGGGGCTAAACTCTTGACCTGGGCGCTGTCCATCATCTTTTCAGCTCAAGGCTAGCACCCTTCCACTTGAGCCACGGCGCCACTTCTGGCTTTTTTTCTGCTTATGCAGTGCCGAGGAATCGAGCCCAGAGCCTCATGCATGTGAGGCAAGCACTTTACCACTGACCCAACTTCCCAGCCCCATCTGTGAGACTCTTATCTCCAATAAGCCACAAGAAAATTGGAAGTGGCACTGTGACTCAAATGGTAGAGTGCTCACCTTGAGCTGAAGAGCTCAGGGACAGGGCCCAGGCCTAGAGTTCAAGCCCCATGACCAACAAGGAAAAAAAAAGTATTATGCAATACTGTAAGTCATCTTCATAGATCTAAGCCCAGGCCACTTGTATGGAGTTTTGCCTTTTGAAGAAACTGAAACCACACTTTGTCCACCTGGCAAAGACTTTTTTCCATAAGCACAATATTGGTGAGGTTCTTCTGTACTACAGTGTTTGTCTCATCATATCACTTAATAGTATAGCATCGTAAGAAAAGCCCACTTTGTTTCCATTCACCAACCGTTAAAGGCAGACATCATACGTTTTCTCCTTTTTGGCTCACAAGAACAATGGTGCTGTGAACATTCCTCAACAAGTCTTTGTGTGGAAATATGGACAGACATCCATCCATGACTGTACCACATGGTATATTAATGTTTTAAGTAAGAAACTTATATTTATAACAATGTAGTTTCATGTTTAAAATGCTGTTAAAGGGCTGGGAAGGTGGCTCAGTGGTAGAG